CCTTCGTCCTTTGGACTATCAGTTCGTGTAATCCGATACGCTGAGAATAAGACTGCGAAAAAGAGAGAAACGGTGTGAGAAAAAGCAACAAAAAAAGTGAAACGAAAAAGAAGAAGTGAGAAGAAGATGTATAGGCGAATAAGAATCTGGAAGAAAATAAACAATCTTGGAGAATCGTCGCACGTTGATAGGGACATTTTTTTTAGGGGTTCAGCACTTTGCCATTCCCAAGAAATTTCTATGAGGATGAATCAATAATATATGTATGTAGTCATGAAATATCAATCCTATTGAAGAGCTTGTGGTAGTAGATACACATACACAGACATATATTTTCTGTTCGAACCTTTCTAAGTATTACCAGTCCTAGTTTGAAATATTTATCGCGAATATTTTTAAATTCGTATTGATTTCTTCAGGTAAAGGGAGTAGAACGAGAATCGTTCGTTCGTACGATATTAATGAAATTTAAGAGAGAACGTGTATAACCCGTATAAATATAATATATTGGATGTATACTATCAAAGTTTATAACATCAAATATTTTCCTATTTTTCTTTTTTCTTTACATTATGATAAAACAGAAATATTTCCGATTGATTTATTTTATTTCACAGAGAATGACAGAAGGAATATTTTTTTTTACAAATTTAGAAGGTCAATGGTATTTGCTTTTAAAGTGAACCTACGTATGTTTTTGTATTGTGCATGTATTTTTTTTTATCCTTTATTTCTTCCCATTACTTAGTTTAGAAGAATATAAGTATATTTGTCATTGGATCGATCGATCGATTCACAGGTTCCTTTTTCTAAGTGAAATAGATCAGACCCTTGGGGTTCATTTATTCGTAAGTCGCGTGAGAACCAGGAGACTAATATAAGTCGTAGAAAAATCAAAGCTTTACGTGAACTTATATATATATATATACTTATATATAATTTCTATGTATACGTATCAGAGTATAATCACGAAATAGTTTACGAAGAAATTATGGAGAACTAATAATTAAAGTGAACTTTGACATAAAATACAATACAAGGCATCTAACAAAAATTTCTATTTCTTGTCTCGGAAGACTGGATTTTTAATCGACCGGTCCATAGCTGATATCAATGAAAAACCTATTTTTCGGATAAGAAAGTAGCAAATAAAATGAACTTCGAAGGAAAAAAAAAACAAAAATGAATAATAAAATCGAACAATAATTACTTTTTATTCAAAATTACTATTTTTATATTTGAATTGTGTTTGTTTTTTTTTTGGTTTCTTTTGTGAAAGAAAGATCTACGATCGTTAGAAAAGAAACGACAAAGATGCTTTATTCTTATTCCGTTAGAATCTTGGGAAAGGTTTCATCTAGGGGATGATTAAGTCGTCCCTCGAGTTTTATTTTCTTGGAGGTGGTAAGAAGTTCCACTGGGAAAGTTTTGATCCGAATGAAAGACGGAGAGAAGGAAGAGAAAGAGATCTTACACGAGGCTTGTCTTGGTCCTTTTCGTTTCGTCTTTCTCGAGAAACGTAACCTTTATCTTCGATCGTACTTTCGCGTCGCTGTGGTCTCCTTTGCGCAAAGTCGAAGGGGGATAATCGATACGTCTTCGTCTACCTTCGCCACCTGGACCTCTCTCTCTCTCTCTCTCTTTCTCTTCCTTCTATCTTTCTATCTTTTTCACATACATATAGACATCTCATTTCTTCTATCACTTCATCTAAAACATTCCTAGTGATATTTGACTCGACTTTGTTCGATCGAATCAAGATCCGACCTTGAACATTTTAATCAATTCAAAAGATCTCATTAGTTACAATTACGACATTTTTTTTTTTTTCCTTTTATAGTCGACTAGATTAAACTTTTTATCGTATGATTATTTCTTATCGGTAGTTACTCGAGCTTTTTATTTTTTATTCATCAATCGATCCTCCTTTTTTTACTTACATTTTTATTATATACTTTTTGCGAAATATTGGAATTGAGGGATGTGAAATAAACATTGTTGCTAGAAAATGTTAGATAAATTCGGAATATATTTATGTAATTAAGGTTTTTAAGGGATGTTTTCGTCGATGCGTCATTGCAGTCTTTCCAAAATTTATAAAGGAACTTTATTACTTTATAAAGGAAGGGCAACTGAACGTTTAACCAATCTTTTCAAAGAGACAAAGACGTATAGCGGATATATGAGGGAAGAAATATGGGTAGGTCAAAAAAAGTATGGATTTTTAAGGTGACGTAGATCGAAGAGATAAAAAAAGAGAAGAGAAAGAGAAAGAATTTCGTTGTAAAGGTAGAAGCGATAAAATTCGAGGCTTCTGGTTGTGGTTTGTGGCGAGGACAAAAAAAAAAATGGAGAAAAAGAAAGAAAGAAAAAATAAAGAAAAAGATTTAGAGAGTTCTGTTTAACTTAAAGTCACCTCCGTTCTTCTCTTTCGTTCAAAAAGGTTGGCTCTTGCGTATTTAAGTAAGTAGATGTTTCTCGAATATCCTATCGAAACGAAAAGGGATGAAGAAAAAGAGAGAGAGAGAGAGAGAGAGAGAGAGAGAGAGAGAAAGAGTAAAAAACTATGAGAAAGAGAGAAGAAGAGGGGTGGAGTAGAGGAAGAATGAGAGGGGTGAGAAAGGGGATCGAGCTGTGGCCGCTGGGATTTAAAAGTAGGGTGGTGCTGTTTAATTAGAGCAAAAAATGGTGCACGTAGTCGAGAGAGAGAGAGAGAGAGTGAGAGAGGAAAAGGTAGAGGACGGAGAATAAAAGCGACGTGGAGGTGGGGAAAAGAAAAAAAAAATGTTGGAGAATGATAAACGAAAGCTTTGAAAAAAGTTCTAGCGTGTATGCGATAATTCTGTTAACACGCCTGATTAGCTTACCTTTTTCTTTCTTTACCTTTCTCTCTCTAATTCAATTTTTTTTCCCTCCAACTAGAAACAATGACTTTAATAACTGTCAGAAGAGATTTTTTCTTGTTTTATCTTGCTCTTCGATCACTCGAAAACATGCTATTGTTGTTTCGTATTTTCACATCTAAAAATATTTCATTTCTCGTGACTCATTTTATTGTTCTCTTTTTCTTTTTTGTTTTTTTTTTTATGTCGAATTTCGATAATTATGCAACATATTTTTTGGTATTTCATAAGAAATTAATTAAAAAAATATGTTAATAAATCAGATTTATATAACTTATTTTTTAGGAAAAATCTATAAGAAAAAGAGAGAGTCATAAGTTTGAAATTTTTTTTAGTTAACGAGTAATTACGCGAAAAAGATGAAGTTTGAAGAGAGGTAGAGCTCTTTTGGTGAGAGTTTTCAAGGCGCGTTTCACCTAAGGTCTTTCTCTCTCTCTCTCTCTCTCTTTCTTTTTGTCTATTTGTGTATCTGTCTCTTTCTGTTTAAAATAACGAATAGAGGTTGCAAACTTGTCCTCATTACGGTTTCGTCATTACATAAATCCTCGTAACCATCAATTAAGTCGAACGGCAAGGTTGGGTACAAAGCAGTAAGACAGGTACTCGGTAATCGTACAGCTAAATTGCAGACGGATTAACGATTATTACTTTGGGTTCGTCAAGGTGGCCCCGTTTACCTTCTCTAACGGGATGGATCGAAACCCGTTGTTGAATATTAGAAATTACGATTACGGTAACGATTCGAGATCCTCTTACTCGTCCTAGTCATCATCTTCCTCCTAGTCATCGTCATTTTCATCGTCATTTTCATCGTTATCTTCATCGTCGTCATCGTTCTCGTTGACGAGGGGTATGAAGATAGGCGCACAATCTGGTTTTCAACGATATAGCCTCTTAAAAAGCACGTCTAGGAACGCGTAATGTCCTCGTTTTCGCGATAATAACGAGTCATCGTAAATATCGGGTTGCTACCTAGTCCGGTTTTTCTCTCATATTTTCCTCCTATTTCCTCTTCTAACCTTTTTCAATCTTTCAACCCTTACCAAGTCTTTCCCTCTGTCTTTGTCTTTCCATCTATATCGATTTTTATTCTTTCTCTTTGCTCTCATTCTCGTTTCAACCTCGGTTTCCTTCCGCGACACAAGAGTAATCATCGATTTAATATCTTGTTTAATCTTAAAAGAGGTAGAAGATGAGAAAGAAGACGAAATTGCGAAAAAACGAGAGAGAACTAAATAAATAAATTAAATTTAGAAAAATCCGGGACCTCATTCGTATCTTCCGTGTTACTTTATTTTCAAGTATTTTTTAATTAACATTTATTTAACTTTATCGACATACTTTGACTCGAGTAACGTTCCATATCAATTTCTTTACATTGTATTGGTAGGTTGTTCGTACTTGCATATAAATGATCCATATATGGGTCGGGAGAAAAACAATTAGCAGAATTATAATATCATGTTTTTCATTTGAAGTTAAGAATGTCATAATGTTACTAAAACTGTATGGGTCTTCAATTTAATGATATTTACCAAACATATCAACTATAATAATTTTTCGTTTCGGTGAATTGAGTTTTGGCACATCTCGTATACATTTATTTCTCTATGGACATATGTGCAAGTGAAATTGTTATAATTTCTAGGACGTGCGGACATCGCTTAGATTTATTTTGCGTACGTGCTTAAACAAGCTGCGAAATAATGCGAGCGGAATTTATGAGCCGTTGCGAGGCTAAGTAGTACAGCCACAACTCGGTCAGACAAGCTCTATCCCCTCTTCTATCCTCTATTTCTCACACTAGTAACATACGTATACATGAATAGAATACATTGAAGTTACGCGTAAACACACGCAAATGTGTGGATGGAGAGAGAAACACGCGAAACTCGATAGATTATCTCTCATAAATTATTTATATGTATAATACCGTGTATAGTACGTTCCTACATTTCAGTATTTATCAAAGCATAGCAATTCGAAGGAACATGGCCGACAGCTACGATACAACCTATTTTCTCTTTTCTTTATCACCTCATCCATTCTTGGAACTTTATCAAGCTACTATTTAAATTTGATCTCGTGTGCTTTCAGTGTGGCAACTTCCCGTGCGTCGAAAGCGTCAACAAACGAAAATCACCGAGGGTGAGTTTTGATATTATCTATTACATATTATAGCTTTTTATACATTGCGTGATTCTTTTTAATATATACGATGAATAGTTCTTTTTTCTTTTTAATATATCATTGAATAAGAACAAAATTATATTTTTTAAATGAAGGGGGTTGTAAGAAAAAATCAATATCTTTAAATAAGAATTTGAATTTGTAGGTATTCTTACAGACTTTTATTCATATATTTAAATAGACATTTTTTTTTTCATAATACAAGTATTTGTAAATACAAAAAATATTTTTTTTTTTAATGAAAGATTAAAAGAGAACAAATTGCTTATCTTTTACATTAGATTAAGTTTATATATTTTACTACATCGCATAATTTTGTTTGAAATAAACATCAATTATAATCATTTTCTTTGTAATACATGTATAAATGAGAAAATAAAGTTTTTACTACGAAGAGTTGAAAAAAAAACATCACACAATATTGTTTAATAAGTATATAAAGAATTGGAATTTGTAGGTATTCTTCGACAGCTTTCTTACGTAATTAAATTACTCGAATCCAATTAACAAAATCTCGATAACCCAATACGACGATAGATAAACGAGGTGAGTAACGAAACGTCTTCTCGACTTGGCTAGTTCGCGAATACATGCGCGATTGTAATTAACTGACTGCACGATGGATCTATTTGTGTATGTATAGGTATTGTACCTTGAAACAGTTTGTTGTTTACGAATGTAAATTAGGAGTGTACTGGATAGAATTTAACTGCAATGGGTCTCATTCGCGAATGAACATCCTCTGTGCAAAATTTGTTGTCCGCGTACAAAAAATTTGTCAAATTTTTTCAGTCCGTGAATGCGAATATTTAAGTATTAAGTCAAATACTTGTCCTATAACTTGATTATTTTTTAAGTATATATATTATTCAATTTTTGAATCATAGCTAAACAGTATTTGTTATTTTATATTGATGAACACGCCTTGTTCGAATAACGTGTTAGTTAAACTATGTGCCAAACATTATTCGCATAATTGTAAATCAAAAAATAGAAAACTTGTGCTTTTTTTAAATTTTTGGTCTCATCTAAGCCAAGGTTCATCACGTTTTAATGACTAAATATTAAGGATTTACAAAACAGATGAAGATAGGTTCTCAAATATCGAAAAAGGATATTAAGTTTTTTTATTGAATCTAATTATAAGAAAAATTTGACACAAGCTCTGACTCATATAATCGATAATTCAAAATAAGCTTCTTTAGCTTACGGATCAATCGGAATATATAAATAATCGAAAATACTTTTCCATTTTAAGTCATCCGATTTCTGTGGTAATCTATATGATCAATAATCTTCCAGTAATCTGACAAAACGTCTTATTTTTACAAATAGAAATATCAAGTCAAGATAAAACCTAAATATAGATATACATTTATTTATATCCATAGGTCAAAGTATATTATACTATTTCTCGGATTATGTCAGTCAGAAAGTGTATTTTAAAAATTTTATTTACGTTGGAAAAGATAATATAGCATTCGGAGTAAAAAAAAAAAAGATAGATAGAGAGAAAAAACTGAAAAACGAGGATCGAAGGGATTTCAGGTAGTTGCTACCTAATCTTAATCGATCATTCAAAGAGGATCGTGGTCGCGGGATTACAAATTTGTTTTTTCCTATTTTTTTTGTTTTTCTTCCTTCCTCCCTTTCTTTTTTCCTTTCATTGGAGAAACCGTTCACCACACGAAAAGTGAGCATCGTCTGTGTGCACGTGTTATGTTTGTGTTAGTGTGTACGTTCTTGCGGCGTAGGTGTGTCGATATAAGTGTAGAAGAGTTCGCGAAGGGAAAATGAAAATAAATTGCTAGGGTGCGGGATAGTTGGTTCAGCTGAATGGATAGAACCGGCGGCGTACGCTGAATTCTCGGTTGAAAGTACGATCTGACAAATGGCGAACGATAAAGGCGCACGACGTTCATTAAGGTAAATGCCCGAAGGCGACAGAAAACGGTTAGCTTTCGATCGTGAAACCGATGCGTTTTATATATACGCGTATATGAATAAATGCTCTTTTCTATTTGCATTGGTCTTCGTAAGCATCAAAACAAGGATAACATTATTCAACGTTAATCATGTTACACCGTATTAGGTCGGCTCGACAAAACTTTGTAACAATTTAAAAATTATATGTAAATATTTAAAACTACTGGTTTTGAATATTCATGCAAAATTGGCACGAACTTTTTCAACAATTTACTATTTATAAAAATTTCCAAATATTCTTTCGTAAATTTGAAATCGGTTTGTCGCATCATGAAATTCACTCTCATCACTTTTTCTCAAACGCGCCAAAAGAAATATAATATAACTTCGAAAAATTGTTAAATTACAAACCAGTTATTTTATTAGTATTTTTTACTTTTATCGGTAGTCAAAAGTGTGAGTTTTGTACGGTTTGTTAGGATCGTTTGAAGATCATCGTAATGGTGGTGCTTCGAAAGGAGTAATGTTCAAGGGAAGTCGAGTGCTTGTAAGTTACACGTAATATCGCAAAGTGAGCACAAAGTGTAGACACCATATTCCGTGAAGCGGCACAAGACAAGCGCGGAGAGGCTTATGACTAGTATTATGCGGAGATTCGGTTATTTGCATAAAGATTCGTGTTGCCATTTGGTGAGAAAGTCAGGTAGATAGATGAACCTATAAGAGAGATAGAGAAAAAGAGACAGAGAGAGAGAGAGAGAGGGATGAGAGATAGAGTAGTTAGGTCCTGCACTTCTACACGAACGCTGAAATTTCGTAGGATGGATCTTATCAGAAAGACTGCATAATTTCCTGGTATAATCCAGTGTTATCGAAACGTCGAATCGGATGGAGAGCTGAATTGGTGTAAGAGAGAAGGAAAGAGAGAGGAAAATGTTTGCAGTTGAAAGAGACAGAGACAGAGATTCGCTCGTTTAAGTGTCAGATTGGCTTCTGATCCTTGACGATCATATTTAACATTGTCTTATCGTGATTAACACGCAAATCATTGTTTTACACATAACGCTAAGCCTTTCACATTTGTATTTTCGTACGAGGTGCGAAATATATGAAGAAGTAAATTTAATTGAGATCATTGTAGGTTATTTCATTACTTAAGCCACTTTGACTCTCACCTTCTAATATTTAAGAAAGTTTGCAAGAATAAAACGGACACATGGATATTTTTTTTTCTCTTTTTCTTTGCAGAAATCATATTTCACAATTGAGATAGAAAATCTATTGGTTCGGCTTGCTTTCATCGAAGAACGATAGATTTTATTGTCACGAGAATTCAACTTCTTGACTTTCCGTTTAAAATACTTCTGCGATTTCTTCATTTCTTCTCTCTCTCTCTCAAAGTATAAAAGATAAATCATATCAACGATAAATCAAAGATATATTTTTTAGTATTTATAAAAATAACAAAATATTACTTTTGAATATTTTTTCAGTACAAATTTTTTCGACAATTCTACTTGGTCTTTTATTTATAATTTTCTAGAACATAAGAAAAGTGATTATTGATTCAAAGATATATCCAATTTTTACTCGTCCAATAATAAAATTATTCATCCAAAGTAATTTTCATTTATTTCAAGTTGTTCTAGTGTAGAAAACTTCTTTCAAAAAGATTTCTTCTTCTCTCTTTCTATTTTTTGTTCTTTCTCGTGCATTCTTATCAAAGGAATCTCCTTATTTTCCTTCCCTCCACTGTCACAACTTCAAATATTTTTGCAGTCTTGTCCAAGCGAAGGGGACGAACGGACGTCCTGATTTCTTTTACTAGAATCTCCTGTCCCATTTCTTTTCCCCCTCTCTCTCTCTCTCTCTCTTCGTTTACCACCGACCACCCATCTACCACCATCATCACTCTTTTTGTACTTTCCACTCATATCTCTTTAAATCTTCCAAAGCGATGCTTCAAAGAAGGGAACCTACAATCCTTCCTTCCTTTCCTTTCTTCCAGTCTTTGTTATACAAAGGATCGTTCTTCTCAAATTTACAGAGTAACGTTTTCCCTTACATATCTTGGGTTTTATGCTTTGTCTTTATTGGCTGGTACTCTGTATCTTTCTAGGAATCCTTCTTTTAAACCCCTTCACTCCCTTCATCCCCTCAAAAACTTGACTTTAAGTGCTTCTTTTAATATTTTCTAAAGTTCCTTATCTTTTTTACTTCATCGATAAAGGGCAGAGAGAGGACATTTATTATTAACGAGATCACCTTTTTTTATGATTTACGTATAGGTATTTAGATATAATAAAAAACGTTTTTTTTTTTTAATTTTCATTGTATCTTTATTCAAGATCAAGGTGATTCAAGATATATAAAATCCAAACGAGTGCGAGAATACTGCAATGAGAAAAAGGATCGAAAATATTATTATCTTAATGTTCATGATAATTTCATTCCTTTAATTTTAATTAGAAAAATATTGAAGAATCTTGAAATAAAATGAAAAAGAAACATTTGATTACGATGAAAGATCCATTGTTAATAATTGAAAAAGAAATAAAACGATTGAAAAAGGGTCGTTCCTGAAGGAATGGATAAGCGAGTGCGAGTGGTATGGCAACAAGAAAATGTTCCAAGACGTTATCCATTATTCCGTAGAAGCGTGGCAGCTATGACTATGCTGGAGTAAATTGTGCGCGATTTTCATCGACGTTGGTAGAAAGAAAGGGTGTCTACGATTCCATCCCTTTACCGCCCTCTCTTTCAACATCTTTGGCTTTTTTCCCCCTATGAAACGCTGGCAAATCTTCTTTCTCTTTTTCACGATTCCAAAGATTTCCTCTCGATCTTATGCCAAGATAGAAAAGGTTTCTTCTTTCTCTCACACCGTTTATGATTCCTTTTTTCTATTTATCTCTCTCACTCAGTTAGGATCAGGCCATTTCAGCCACGCAGTCAACTCACCTCCGTCCCTCACCCCAATTTTCCTTCTCCTTTCTCTTTCTCTCTCTCTCTCTCTCTCTCTCTCTCTCTCTCTCTCTCTCTCTCCTTCATCCTCTCCTACATTCTTGATTTTCTCTATATGGCACCGCACCGTCGATGCTTTCGATTCCGATCGAACGAGCCAAAGGGTAGAGGGCACCAAGGGGATGAATATTCCGCCTGTAGGATTCATAACGTTCATTTATGCACGGGTCAGTGACTCATATCTGGCAAGAAATACCACTTTATATCTTTCTCTCTCTCTTTTACATCTTTCACTCTACTTTCCGTATGAATTCTCT